CTTGATTGCTTCTCTACTTTCATTTCTTTTTTTGAGACAACATTTCTCACTGAACCTGAGGCCCACTGTATTAGTCAGGGTTCTCCAAAGAAACAGAACCGGTACAATGAATATATATGTACAGGGATTTATCAGCTTAGCTCACAGGATAGAGTCCAAGTAGTCCAACAATGGCTGCACCACACTGGAGAGGCTGTGAATCCAGTAGTCGCTCAGTCCACGAGGCTGGATGTCTCAGTAGTCCCAATCTGGAGCTGAAGGTCTGATGAATTCCAAAAGATTGGCTAGTCTTCAGTCTACAGCAGCAAGATGAACTCACCAGTGAGAGAGAAGGCAAGTGGCAAAAAGCTAGCACTCTCTTCTGCCATGGTCTTTTTAAAAAATATATTTTATTTGTTATTTTATTTTATGTGTATGCGTGTATTGCCTGCATGTAGGTAAGTAGAAGATCTCTCGAATTTCAGTTAATCCCAGATCCAGTCAAGTTGACACCCAGGATTAGCCATCACACCCATCAATTAGGTTAGCTGGCCAGTGAGCTTCAGGAATCTCAGCACTGGGGTTATAAATGCAGCTCCCATGAGTGTTGGAGATCGAAACTTAGGTTTTCATGATTATGTCACAGGCACTTTACAAACGGAGTCATTTCCCCAGCCCAAGAACTGTTTGGGGTTGGTTTGTTTTGTTTTTAATTACAGAAGACATGGGGCTGGAGAGAAGGCTAAGTGGGTAAGAGCACTGGCTATTCTGCAGAGAAACCATGTTTGGTTCCCAGAACCCACATGGCGGCTAACAACCAACTATCTTTAACTCCAGTTCCAGGGGATCCAATGCCTTTTCTGACCTCTGCAGGCATTGCATGGCACAAGTGCATTTACATACATGCAAGCAATACACTTATACACATAAAATAAAAATAATACATCAAACCCCATGATAAAAGAATAAAGAAGAACATTAGCATTTAAGAAAAAAATACTTCACTGAAAAGGCACAACTAGAGTATTAAGTACAAAAGTCAAACAAATGCTTCTACAGGGAGAAATGCATCAAATATAAGCTAGACCATCATAATCCCACAGAGAATAACTCAACGACTAAATCTTGGTTTTAAAATTCTACAGGAAACCCATAACAATGTAGAATACAAGCAAA